TTGAGTGGGAGTATTCCAGATAGCATCGGGCAACTTTCTAAGTTAGAGAGCCTAGATCTTTCTGACAATCAATTGAGTGGGAGTATTCCAGATAGTATCGGGCAACTTTCTGAATTACAGTTCATAGATCTTTCTAGCAATCAACTTGGAACAAGATTTCCTAAATGGCCTCTATTGCAAAAGAAAACAGTCATGGTTGATCTCTCTAATGCTAGCATCTTAGGTCCTTTTCCAGAAAACATTAGTCATATGATGCCAATGTTGACGGGATTATATCTTGCAAATAACCTCATGAACGGTTCAATTCCAAAGTCGCTATGCAATTCAAAATCTTTGGAATTTCTTGATCTCTCAAACAATATGTTTTCTGGAAGTATTCCTAATTGTTGGAGAAATGATCAATTATTCAAATTTATTGATCTATCTTCTAACAATCTCTCGGGTTTATTTCCCAGTACAATAGGGCTGCTTTCTGTTTTATATGTACTGCATTTAAACAACAATAGTCTCCATGGTGAATTACATATGGACTTGAAAAACTTTAGTTCTTTAGTGGTTTTGGATTTGGGTGAAAATAAATTTTCTGGAAATTTAACAAGCATTGTAAGGGGTGAGATTGGCAACCACTCTTTAAAAGTTCTTCGACTACGCAAAAATTTGGTTTCTAGTTATATTCCTTTGGAATTGTGCTATCTCTCTCAATTGCAAATTCTAGATCTTGCAGATAACAATTTGACAGGAAGGATTCCTCCTTGTTTTGGAAAGTTTCCAGTTATGGTGAATGCAACAAAATTGATCAATAGCATGATTTACAAGTATTGGTCTTGGGCGCATTTAATGGAGGTTGTGAAAGGAAGATACCTTGTGTATAAAAGAAAAACCCTTGGACTCCAGAGCAGTATAGATCTTTCAAGTAACAATCTAGTAGGATCCATACCAGACGAACTAATTTTTCTTAAGGATTTGCACAATTTGAATTTGTCTTGGAATCATCTCTCAGGAAAGATCCCTGAGAAAATTGGACAAATGGAGAATTTGGAATCTCTCGATTTCTCCAAAAATGTCCTCTCAGGAACAATACCGAAGAGTATGTCAAGTTTAACCAAGTTAAGCCACCTCAACTTGTCCTACAATAACTTGTCAGGGCCAATTCCAACAGGCTATCAGCTCCAAACACTCGAAGATCCAACCATTTATGCCGGTAATCCTCAACTTTGTGGAGCTCCACTCTTGAAGAAATGTTCAAATGATGGGCTACCTTCGCCAATTGACAACTTCAAGGACAATGATGAAGGTGCACTTAAAAGAATGTGGTTTTACATCGTCGTGATGTTAGGCTTTGCAACTGGATTTTGGGGAGTCATGGGATCTTTGATTTTTGTAAAAACTTGGAGATATGCTTATTTTCGATGGGTGGATGATGTCAAGCATTGGATCCTTGTGGTTATAACATTGAAGGTGGCCAAATTTAAGAAGATGTTCAATGGCAACCTAGATGATCAATGAGTAATATATGAAGTATGTTGTTGTTGCTACATTTATTAATAAACTAGTTCCACAACCCTACGTTGTAGGGTGGGGTGTCAAGTCCAATTTTGATTGGCCAAATATTGCATTGGCCAATTTTAAATGAACACATAAGTATTAGGGTTTGTAATGTTTCAATAATATAACAGAGACTATAGTTCTAAAGGTTTTACAAAAATAAAAATTCATAAATTCAAACAGAAACTAGAGAATTCTGTGCAAGGCTATCAGATTCCATGGATTTCTATCTTCTCGGTTTTGTTACAACAAGAAAAGAAAAAAAAAAAAAAAAAAGAGCAATAGATGAAAGAATGAGATAGGAAGAATGGCTCAGCTAAGTATCCAATGATAGCCAAAATAAAGTCCTCACATATTCATGGTCAAAGTTTGGAACTTTTAATCACACATAATTAAATCACTCAATTGAGTATCCAACATAATACATCTCTTACATAAAATTCCCATGTCTTCAATATTTCCTAAAACACATTTTCACATTGCATAAGGCATATCAACCAAAGACTCATAAAACACTGTCAAGGCTAAATAGTGGAGACCATTATGTTAGTTTAACCTTGTATAGATAACTGATTCCTACAACAGCAAATGAAACACAATTAATCATTTATTGTTTTTAATTTTATGTCAACACTCTCGATATACAAATGGCCTCGAAGCTAAAGAGCACAATGTAAAATAACCTAGATAAACTTCAAGGATAAAAAGAATATCCACGAAAAGGATTAATTGTATCCAATATAATGCATCTCTTACATAAAATTCCCATGTCTTCAATATTTCCTAAAACACATTTTCACATTGCATACGGCATATCAACCAAAGACTCATAAACACTGTCAAGGCTAAATAGTGAAGACCATTATGTTACTTTAACCTTGTATAGATAACTGATTCCTACAACAGCAAATGAAACACAATTAATTATTTGTTGTTTTAATTTTATGTCAACACTCTCGATATACAAATGGCCTTGAAGCTAAAGAGCACAATGTAAAATAACCTAGATAAACTTCAAGAATAAAAAGAATATCCACGAAAAGGATAGGGATTAATACCTCCAATTGTAGCCTCATTACTTAGTGTTCCCTTTCTCCCAACAAACCATCTTTGAATAAAGCCACTAAAAAAGAGTATATCTAAGTGAGAAAAATATATAAATAATTATGATCTTTTTCATTTGGAAGATGATGTTGGTATATTTTGTATTATTAAAATAAACTATAAGCGTGGAGTTTTTGTGGCCAAACCTTGAGTCTTCTTCATCCTGCACACTCATGAAGGTGTAGATGCCACCATAGCTACTATGAAATGACTAACATGTTTTCAACCTACAAAAGAAATTATATTAAGAAAATTAAGCAACTAAAGCTATAAAAAAACCTATGAGATAAGATTGTAGGTCTCCATTATGTACATGATAACATAATACATGTGTAGACAATTTGTATAACAAATCCTACTTCTTAGACAATATTTCCAAAGTAAACAACTCTCACTTCATATTTTATTGCCATTCCCATTTATACTACTTATAGAAGAGTTTGGGATTTTAAATTCAAAAGTCTTAAATCCAAATTTTTGGAGTAGACCAAAAGGGTGAAAAGAGATTTAGAAAATGAGAAATAATTATCCCCTTTTGGTTAAGGCAATGTTGGTGAAGAGGAAGAAGAAGACTCATACCCTAAACTAAAATATGAAAAGATTGTAGAATCACAAAAAGAAGCTGTCTCTTTTCCAAACACCGTCTTTCCAATAATCAATTGAAGACCATTCCAAAAGTCGATATATGCTCTTCCCCTCTAAGATACTATATATGTTTGAAGCAATGTTCAAGCATTTTATATTTGACTTCAAAAGGCAAGATTGCTAAATTAAGCCTATTTAAAATTAGTACATGTTCTCATTTTTATATATATAGATAAAGAAGCTAGCACATGTTGATTCCTTTCAAATCTAAATTTACAATCATCTCCTCTTTCTTAAAGCCCTAATAACCATGAATAGCTAAGAAAGAGAAAAATTGAAATAAGATGAAGAAAAATATCATATCAACTTCCCACCTCAATGTTTTATTGCATTTGGTTGTCCCTATCTTCCAATTAAAAAGAGTTCTTCCCAACTATGTTCCCAACTATGAAAGCAAAACATTGTGCATGGTTCCACAATCATCTTCTTAACATAATTAAGTTCCATTATTCATCATTTCAATCTTAATATCTAACAAATTAAGCTCATAATCTTAAAGCAAAACAACTTTAGATGTTTTGCCTATACCAAATTTGATTTCATTAATCTATCATTCCTTGTTATCATTAACATAAAAGAAGAGAAATTAATGCAAAACCTCTATACTGAATAATAGAGTAAAAACATGAGTTTCAACATTCTTTGTCCTAGGAAAAGAAAACAATTCAAAACTAACTGAGATGGAGTTATGTTAATGTGTTATAAATTTTAAAGTCATGAATTGTAGATTAAGTTGAAATCTAATAGGTTTCAAATCGAGCTAATTTTTATATCCATTTGGCATATAAGTAGGGTACACACTTTGAAGAAAAATATATAATTATATAGTTTCAACTTAGCAAGATATCAACTTCCTATTTTAAAGTAAAAAAAAAAAATCAAACATAGATTATTCTTTCATTTTGAATCATATTGTTTTCAATTATGAAATGTAAGAAACAATAATTTCCCTTTTCTTAATCGATCATTGTTATATTCAATCATGTCTTTAGATTCAACTATGTCAATGATAACTTCTGAAGTTTGCCAAATTAATACTCTCCCAGCCACATTAGAAAGCAATGTTAGTTTTCCAGTTAACTAACTTAGTAAATTCATAAGTTGGAATCAATACCCATTATAAGTTTGATGAAATGGATAACATTGGGTATTAAATTTGTGTTATAGAACATTCTAAACATCCAAATAAGGCTCCAATTATTAAACAATTTCAGCCACATACAACAATTATGCATCAAGCATTACGGCCTATGATAACAAAATCAAAATAACAAATTAAGATATATATACATATATACCAATTAACAAATCCCAACCACCCAAGTTGAAAATCCCGTATCCAAAATTTCCTATGCAACCAAAAAAAAAAAAAAAAGGAGGAAATTTGAAAATTGAAAAAGGTTCAACATGTTTCAGCCAAAAAGAGGAATGTGAAAATCGTTTATAAAAGAATTTCAGTAGTTGTAAAAACAACTCATAGGAGCAAGGAAAACACCGCATCCTTTACTGAGATAAAACCATTTTGAAACATTAAGATCAATCTGTATTGATGCAAAATTTATCCACTGCTCAAAATGGGCTAAAAAATGAAATTTACCATAATAAAGATTGTGTGACACACAACAAAATTACTCAGATATCTCTTGAATGCAAAAAATTAAAAAGTTATTAGGATGATAAAAGGACTTACATAATCAATTAGAGTAGAACATATAAAGGACTGTCAACCTTCAAGCTGGTAATTGCAACAAACCAAATAAATCTAATGAGTTTGAAGGAAATTATCAAAAGACCACAAACGACTAGGGGGAAGAAGGGATAATTATTCTCATCATAACAATCAATGGAATTATGACTAAAGATTGTTGTTTTGCAACATCTCATCTCAGAAAATACCTTTCCAATAGGGTTCATCTTTAGAAATTCAAAGGCTTTGTTTGATACACCCAACTCAAAATTCTCAACTAGTTTGACATACACACCATTGTACTCTACAACAATGTGTGCCTTAAATAGTTTTGGATGATCACCAACATCAAATATACTAACCACGTTGAAGAGTATGGGACATAGATTAAGCAATTCAATAACTACAAATATCATAATAATCAACCATAAAAACTTGACTCTCTTATACAATTAACCTCCTAACATTAACTTTGCAAGGGACTTCTCAACAAAAGTCATTTTGTTCATCCAAATATACTTTTGTATAACTCAATTGCTATTATAAAAATGTTAAAACTTCCCAACCATGTTAAAGAGTATGGGTAAATAGATTAAGTAATTCATTTACAACTTTCCCAATTCAACCTCAGGTGAGCCACACATAGGTCTGATCAAGATCAAGCCAATATTTTTATGGCATGATACGGATTTTCACCTTTTTTTAGTGATTACTATTATTAAAATGCTAAAGTTGAAGTGGAAACAACTCCAACATCAATGACACCATTGCTTTAGTAGTAAATTGATAATAACTACTTCATCTTCGATTTCGAGTTTCAACAGAAAGCATTATAGAAATATCATATAAAAAAAAATTCAAAATCAAAAGAAAAAAG